TGATTTCCCCTTAAGTCTCTTTCGCGCTTGGTAGAATTCATCACGAGCCGATCTCTTCGTGAATTTAACAATTATTGCTGGTATTCTCTTTACTTGAACTCCATCGCTTCTTGTCTGAGGTCCTTCTGAGAGCCTATGACTTGTTGAGATGTCATCGTATTCCAAGTCCACGTCAATGAGCTCTCCGACTTTCTTCGCGATCTCATCTGTATCTTCATCGCGACTCTGTGGTATACCTCGTATTTCTAGACAATCCCGCCTAGAATACTGTTCCAACTCATTGATGTCAATTTCATTTTGTGTTGCCTTTTCTTGACAGGCAAATACTTGCGCTTTGAGGCTGCTGTTCTCTACTTTTAGATAGTGAACCTCTTTTTTAAGAGAATCGGCAGTCATTACAACTTCATCATACTTAGCACTGAGATGTTCAAGTGAAGCTTCCAGTGTATTGATTTTTTCTAATTTACGAGACAATTCTTCCAGTTTGGCAACAATTTCAGTTGTAGAACTCATATTAAACAAAATATAATAGGCAATACAAAAAACGATAAACATCAAGATCTTAACTAAGTAGGAAATGGCAGATTTATACTCGATTTCTCGGAGCATTTAAAAGACCCGCCATCTTGGTACGCTGACCGCTGACCGCTGACACATATTTTTTACTCGCCATGTTTTGAATTTTTGCAGTTGTTATTTAGTTTAACACACAAACAAAACCACTAAAATTCAGCTTGACGCAATTTCTAGATACCAAAATCACGGAAAAAGACGAAATTTATTATTCACACGAAATTTCAGATGGCTAGTCCGCAGGAAACGTAGAATATTTTTAACTGCTTGAAAATCTTATGTTCGGTTCTGTCCTTGGATTACTTTTTAACCAAAAATGATCATTTAATAAAACTCGTATTAACCGATATTACTTGTTCGAAATCGAAAAATCTAGACCTTGATCAGTCGTACAAACCTTGCTGCGCTAAGTCTGTACTTCCCGATGGCGGTCTAGATTTTTCTATCTAGAACACGAGCTCGGTAAAATAAGACCTAAAATAAGAACTAAATACAAAGAAATAAAAAATGATATAAAACTGAGGTTTAAATTTGTCTAGGTTAAACATATAAAATTTCGTTTTACTCGGTGTTGAGAAACATGACTGTCTTTTTCAATGTGRTTAAAGTCATCATTCCGAACCTAATTCGTGGTATATTTTGCGTGTAACGTCGATTGATTTGATGGTGGTCTATTTTTAAAAWTTTTTGGGTAGAACTGGGTGACTAGTCACATCCTTTTTCTCGGAAGAAATGATAATGCAAACTTAMAAGAACTTAGGAAATAGTAAATTCATTTGAAAAAATTAGATAAACAACTCTTTTAARTATACGAACATAACGTCTTAGACGCCCGTAAGAGCCTGGAACATTCAGAGCCTGTGTTCGTTTCGAATATACGGAAGTGAATTTTTTCTGCTTTGGCGGTAAAATTTTCCGCCAGATAAGAAACTTTTGCAAATGCGCGGGGCAGTRTAAAACGTATGGTTCACGCCATTTGGTCAAGCCTTTTCCATCAMGCTTACAAACAGAAGGAGATTGAAAGTTTTTTTGAGAAAAAGAAGGTAAGAGAGGAGCTTATGGGAATATTAAAACTATTGGGTTATGTTTTCAGCGAAGATTTGAGGTTATTATGGCTGGATTACATATAGTCTGGTATTTGTTTTACAGTAACACCAAAGATCAGTCAAACCCAACACTAAAACCAATCGCTAGATCTAGAGGTATTTGCTAAATTAATCGGGCTTTTAAAGATTTAATGGCAGTRTAGTGCCTTTATTAAGTAAGAAGGTTATAATGTTATTTTAATTTCAGTATTAACATCATTTGTATATTAATTTTATATCATCAATAAATGAATTGATCCGGGTGGATGTGTGGATGGCAGGTGACATACACTTTCGAAAAATAGAAGGTGGAAAGTATATCCAGCCACTGGTTCCCCGGGGTATCTTATCACTTGCTACTATGATAAAGATTGGAGGTAAAAYATATAATACAGAAGACAAAAGCCTTGAGATCGCGACTTATAACATTCTAGGTCTATGGTTTCCATGTGGTGACATACTGTGAGTTGTCTGGGGTCCCTAATAAAAGTAGCCTAAGCTTCTGTTGTCTTCTCAATACCGCATGTTTTGTTCAGAATATCAAACACGGAAAACGGATTTACATTTATAAAGACATCTATGCACATATTACGTTGATCTCTCAAAACATACAAAGATAAATATTCCAAAAAATATTAAGAGGTTTTATACACTCTGAAAATACCGCAACRCACTACCAGCAACGACTTGCATCATATGAGAGCGATAGGTATCGATCAGGCATCGAATTCAGGGCCGGGTTGTTTGTYCCACTGTTCAGATCATTTGAACCAGAGTAATAGACCAGGCATCTGTCAGGACTTAATTGGAATAAGCAAATATAAGTAAATRAAACCAAACCAAACATACATCCCACGAACGCTGAAAACACCTCTATATCTTATTTTTGACGAAAATTGTTTCGCATCAAAAAGTCGTTATCTATTCCTTAGCATTGGCAGATAATCACTCAAAGACAGCTATCTCAAAACAGATTTCGTTCCATAAATCTCTTTGCGTGCGTTTCCTGTTTCATGGCCAGAAAATCCGGACATTTGTTTGTAATTTTTACAAAGAAATGTATGGATCAAAAAAAAATATTTGAGAATAAGATTTCATCTGTTTTAACTGGAAAGATTCCATAGATGAATTCGTAGAGGGAAACTATTCTTGTTTCCACTGTAGGAAATCCAAATAAATCCAATATTGTTAACAGCGTCCTTTTTGACAATTTATTTTCCTTTCGTCGTCTCCCTTTGGCCTTGTATCTCATGGTGAAAATTCGCGAAGAAGCGAAATTTCACCGTAGCTGATCGTGTTCCTTTACATGTCACTGATATTCCATAGATCATTTCTCAAAGTCCACATATTGAGGTAGGAACACAGCGATTTCAGCTATTTTGAAGACGATCAACAGCGTCCTTTTTGGTACTAGAAATCGTACAATTTGAAAACACTAACTTGACGCTGAAATGGCTGGCGAAGACGCGTGTTTCACGCGAATACCTGGCCTGATCTTCCATTTTATTATCCATGTTTGGTACCAAAATAAACCTTAGAAACATGGCTTTCAGACTTTAATTTTGGAGGTTTTTACTGGCGCCTTGCGCGCACTGGTAAATAGCGCAGATAGCGGGAAATACGAACGAAAGATAGGCCAATCAAGTCTAGTGTAAACAATTTCAGACCTTTTAAATTCCTTAGAAATGTACAAGTATAAACAAAAGATCACAATATCAACTGATGGTCATTGTTTAAAATACCTGAGGGAAACGTGTGTTCCAGCAAATAATATTATTTACACTATGAACATTCCAAACGAGCACCTCACAAGCCACTAATGAACTCAAGGATCGGGGCGTGCTATCGCATTACTCGTTTGTCGATGTTTTGAACGTTTCGATTTTAGCCCCGTATTGTATTAAGATAAAAGATCGTTGCACAAGAGTAGAAAATTTGATCTTCAAAAGTTCAAACCTCAAGGGAACTTGTAGAAAGCTCTATTTTGGTGGGAAAACACGCTGTCTCGTCCCGGGCTCAGATGTCCGGAATTTCTGGCCATGGGTAAAAAAAAGAAAGAAAACAAGATGTAAAATCAATTAATTGTTAGAAGCTTTCAGATGCGATGATTTATCCAAATTGAACCATATAGTACGTAACCAATCAAAGCTTGCCATAAGAAAGTTAAGAGTAAACGTAGCCAAGCAAAGCTTTAATTGTCATAGGAAATTTAAAAGCAAACAAGAAGACAATGTTTGGTATTCTTATGTGCGTTGTCCTTTAGTCGAAAAGTATGGAGAAATATTCCTGTTAAGGATAGGTCGAGATCGGTCAGATTACGTATTGCAAATTGAGCAACGCGAGAATAATTGAAGCTTTCGAAAACACGAATGACTGAGAATTTCTTATGGTGGCCGATACATCGGTTCCAATAGATCAACAGCCAGGACTAGTATAGTTGCCAGATATGTACGAGAACTGCGTCGATAACCAGGTGAGAGACACTTGAATGACACTTAAATGAGAATTGTGAAATAAAGTTTTCCCAGATGAATAAAAAATTACGCCGTCAACATCTTCCCGCCAAACCCCACATCCACAACCGCACTGTGACAAGTACCTTGGATAGAACGCTTTTTCGTGTGAAACTAAGCAGACCACTCCCAACAGAGAGAAACAGACCTGATGTCATCGAGAAAGCCTTTGCTTATTAGTTTATGGGACATGCAATCGTCGAAGAAATCGGTTAATCAAGACAGAGTGAGAAGGGGAGAAAGGGCCCACAGGCAAGTCGTCTGCGGTCAAGAGGAAGAAAACGTGTCTGATTGTGACGTTGTTTTCCGCTCTTCAATAATCGGAGAAATTTATGCAAAGAAATTTAACGAGTAATTGGCACAAACATGTTTAAATCTTGATTGCGGTGAAAATGTTATTTTCATTTACGATGATGCCCAAGCCCACCACAATCCRGTGAATCCAGGCTGACTGAAAACTAGTGCCACTCACAGTCCATTTCTAAACATCTTGGARCACTAGTAATAAACATCTTTGAAAGCATCGGTAAAAGCAGGATATATATAGGTCTTTCGCAGTACAACAAGAAATGAATAGTAAAGATGAGGCAAGGAATCGAGACTTTGCTTTGGACAATTGCCGCACACGTCTGATTTTGGAAGCACTGAATCGAAATATTGGAACAATCACTCCAGCTATAAATTTGGTTAATGGATACACTTTATGCGTATCTACCTCGCTGCATTAACAGAGAGTTTATCGAAGGCTGATATTCCCATAAAAAAGACAAGCAGATTGAATGTTTCTTATTTCTTATGTGTTATTAGGGTTTTTTGAATCACTCAGATGAAGTCAAAACGCTCTAAAGGCTTTATAGATTGTCTATGTTTATGCTGATAATACTGTTTGATTGTCAATAATTGCTACAGTTTGTCAATAGGTCCTATTGAAACTTTATTGCGCGCACAAAAATCAACCTTCTACACATTGATAGGATGAATGCTTGGATGAATACACATTGATAGGATGAATGCTTGGATGAATACACATTGATAGGATGAATGCTTGGACGTATTTAAGTACTGCTATTGAAAGTTGTTTCGCGCCAATGGTGTTACTACTTGCGGTACGTTCAAGAAAGTACCATAAAAGTTATTGATCCATTCCTTGGTACAAGTGAATGTACGTCTTGCGTTATTAAACAGCAAAGTTTATATACATGGCCAAATATCATCATGGGAATATTGATCTAAACTCCTAAAATTGTTTTGCAGCCTAATTTATTGTAAACTATTTAATTTCACTTAAATGAATGAATTTGTTGTGGCTGTTGTTTTTGTCGACAATGGAAACCCAACGGTT